TCGCGATGCATCTTCTCTGCCTCAGCGTACTTTCCCTGATCGCTGAGTGCTCCTGCTACGTTGCTCATGCTCGCCAGTGTGACTGTGTGCTTGTCTCTCAATACCTTCTTTCTCAGCTCCAGTGTTTCGCGATGCATCTTCTCTGCCTCAGCGTACTTTCCCTGACCGCTGAGTGCTGCCGCTACGTGGCTCATGCTCGTCAGCGTGTGTGGGTGCTCCTCTCCTAACACGTTCTTCCTCAGCCCGAGCGTCTCGCGATGCATCTTCTCTGCCTCAGCGTACTTTCCCTGATCGCTGAGTGCTCCTGCTACGTTGCTCATGCTCGTCAGCGTGTCTGGGTGCTCATCTCCCGACACCTTCTTCCTCAGCCTGAGCGTCTCGCGATGCATCTTCTCTGCCTCAGCATACTTTCCCTGACGGCTGAGTACTGCCGCTACGTTGCTCATGCTCATCAGCGTGTCTGGATGCTCGTCTCCCAACACCTTCTTGCTTAGCCTTAGCTCCTCGCGATGCATCTTCTCTGCCTCCACGTACTTTCCTTGATCGCTAAGTGCGAGCGCTACATTGTTCATGCTCGTCAGCGTGTCTGGATGCTCGTTTCCCGACACCTTCTTCCTCAGCCCGAGCGTCTCGCGATGCATCTTCTCTGCCTCAGCGTACTTTCCCTGATCGCTAAGTGCTAGCGCTACGTTGTTCATGCTCGTCAGCGTGTGTGGATGCTCGTTTCCCAACACCTTCTTTCTTAGCCCGAGCGTCTCGCGATGCATCCTCTCTGCCTCAGCGTACTTTCCCTGACCGCTGAGTGCTCCTGCTACGTTGCTCATACTCGTCAGCGTGTCTGGATGCTCAAGCCCAAACACCTTCTCTCTGATCGACAACACCTGTTGGTGTGTTGTCTCTGCTGCCGAATATTGCCCGAGGCTTGCTTGACACCGCCCTACGCGATCTAAAAGCGAAGCGCTGGCTGCTTTGCCCACTATACCATGGATTCCAGCCACATGGATTGCGTGTGACAAGTACATCGTCCACACCTCCTTGTTTTCATGCCCGCCATATGGCACTAGCTCTTCGAGCCGCGCTACCGCTGCGTCCACCCAGGTTGTACGCTCATTGTGTCTGTCAAGCCACCGGACAGACGCCTTATAGACCAGTCGGTGCATATCGAAGAACTTGTCTCCATCTGATTCTTGTATCGTTTGTAGGCGCTCTGCGATGAATGCATACCCTCTAAGTGTTCCCAACGCTTTCGTTTGCTGCACCAAAGACTTCCCGGAAGGCAGTAGTGACTGCGGGATATTGACACGGTCTATACACGCCATGAACGAGAGGTATTCCGCGGCAAGGGGGTCTTCCTTGAGTATCTGCTCGAAAGAGATATGCCAGGTCTTTGCGATTGTGCTGTCCAGTCCTTCGTATCTGCTGGGGTCATAGAAGTGCTGGTTGAAGAGCTCGGCCTCTGCACCAGTCTGTCGGAATAATGATACGTAGCTGCTTACTGACACGTCGTTATTGTTCATGAAAGCGGCTGCTTGCACGATAGCGAGCGGCAGATATGTGAGCGCCTCAAGCAGTTCGTCAAAAGCAGTCTCGCCGTCAAACAATGACTGCTGCGTCAGCCGCAGCGCTAACAACTGCCTGGCTTCAGCTTTGCCCATGTCGGTCAGCCCTAGGACACTGCTCTGCGTCAGAGCTCCAGCTACCTTCCTGCTCCGAGTAGTGAAAAGGATCGCGCCTCTGTCGCTGCGTGGGAGATAGTCATTCAGTCGAGCTGGTTTCGAATTACTGTTCGTGGTACCTAAGAGCACCTCATGATCATCAGCGTTATCGACGATCATCAGCCAATTGTCCACGCGCTCTGAGTTTAAAGTTTCCTGAACAAGCCTCTTGACATCCGCGTTGTCATCACTGATGCCTGGTATACGGAGGCGTCCCCCAATCTCGCGGTATGCAAGCTCGAAGCTCTCCTGGCTGATTGCAGGCACCCAGAGAACCAGTCTAGCATGTGTTGCCAAAGTGCGATATGCAAACTCGATGGCAAGCGCTGACTTCCCGCACCCTCCCAATCCATATATTGTCATACGCCGATGCGTGTTGGAGATGAGGAGGTGCTGTTCGAGAGATCGGAGCTCGTCCGTTCGTCCGACAAAATGTTCATTCCTGGGGAAAGGCAGCGACGAGAAGACTATATACAGTTAGCTGTGTATGACTCACATAGAAGTATGCTACTTCGCTAAGCCAGGACATACCGGGCAGGTTCTGCGAGCTGCCAGTTCCGCGGCCCTCCTGCCGCTTCCGTATCTCTTCTCTCAGCCGTAGGGTGGCGTATGCTTCTCCTTCTCCGTATATGAGCGACAGAAACACACCAAAAATGCCCAACAGACAATACACTTTGTCCTCCTCCCGTGTTGTCGAGCGTGTGGCTGCCCAGCTCATTCGATCCTCGATGCTGAACTCGTTGAGGCTTTGTCTGCGCAGGGCCGTGACAGGGATTCTGGTGATCTCGTGGATCTCCTGCTCCAAAGACACCCTACTACCCAGCCGCTTGCCCTGTTTGCAGAAAAACTCGATGCTGGGTGGCGCCAGGAGCTCTTGCAACGTCCAGCCTCGTGTGAACCATCGGCTCCGTCGAAAGGCTTCCTGCCACGCTATCCGGAAGGCTTCAGTATCGATGATCTCGTCCGGCACCGAGACGTCCGACAGATATACGTAGCAATTGGATGCACGCTGGTACCAGCGGAACATGGAGTTGATCGCTGTACTGAGCTCATCGCTGGTAGACTTGTCGATGCAGCAGGTATCGACCCAGAAGTACTCGAGGCCGTCTGCTGCAGCTTGTTCACCGCAGAAGCAGATCTTGGCGTAGCCAGTCTTGTCTTTGCCTGTACCGGCCACCAGCTCATTGTACGTGACTTCTTGGCCCTCGGTCCAGGTGTGTGAGAGGATAGCATACGGAGGAGCGTCGTTGTCGCTGAACGACACTAGCTCGAACGCGCCGCTCGGCAAGCGCTTCAGAAGACGCATCGCGGTGCCCACATGTTCTTGACAAACGATGACCGTTTGCCCAGTTAGATCGATCGCGATGCAAGTGTACGAGTGAAAAGGGTCAGCGCAGGGCACAAGTAAACATCTGTCGCCCAGCGCACACGCCGTACATCACGGAGCGGGTCGATCAGGCTACAAGCTGGTGCTCTTTAGACGATTGGGGCTGTGTAGTCAGCGAGTGCCCAGCCACCAGCTCCATGTACAGGACTTAGTGGGACCAGGCCACTGAGGTTTCAATCCTAGGCAGCGACACCAAGGCGGAGACGCAGCAAAGGCTCCTACATAAACGGCCGCGCTTCCGCGACCACCACCACCTTGTGTTAATGCGCTTTTGATTGTCCGCACTTTAAATTCACCTCAACATCCTTAAATGCAATAGTCTCAATTGGATCAGTTCACTCGCTTTTTGCAATGGGGGTAACGATAGGAGGGTACGGCGGCTTCTGTATCTGCGAACTCAATGAACAAGCCATCGAACTCGAGTACATTACATATGACTGTGGCGACAGTCGTCCGAGGCTGATATTCTGGAGGGGGATCGACTGTAAAACACTACTACGTTGACTGCAAGTCTACACTATCCATGATCAGAGATGGCGAAGGTCCGAAGTGCAAACCTGTCCTGGGACACCGTGCGTCCTTGGCTCGCTTGGATAGAACTTAGTTGTAAATGACGTTTACTCCCGATATGAAAGAACAGAGCAACTTCAAAGGGCTGATGGTAACGCATCGTCGTATGGTAGCTGGATTGTTGATGCACATGAACTCTGTCGGGCACTATCGGCAAACCTTTCGTTGTCCGCAATGACCATCCATCACAATAATTCAAGATTGAAATGTTTGCTACATAAATTTTATATTTGAACCATTTTTCATCAACAGTACCATCTCCGGTATAGTCCAGAGGCTAGGATATTCCGCTTTCACATCTTCGGATTTGAAGTACCGGAAAGACCCGGGTTCGATTCCCGGTACCGGAAACATTTTTTTGCCTTTGCTCGGTTTGAGTGATGTGGTTGACAGTGAACAGTTGCAACATGCGCTGCCCACACAATTCATGCACTCACCAATTGCTTCGATTTTTTCTTGTTGCTTAAGGGATCTTTTGCTCAATCGTAGGTTCTGTCAGTTCGGTGCACTACGTCAAATACTGTTCGAATCGTTCCGAGATATCCAGGATTGATGACTCTCGTACACACCAGCTTCCTCAATGGCAACACCTGGATTTCTCATCATCACCGAAGTATGCTAAAGATGTTGCATTGTCATCTTCAGTATTCTGTCTTCGACCGAACGCATGTTGAGGCATCACCTGGGCATACTCCGCTCAGGCCGACGCGCCACACCTCACCACTCATCTCATCAATCCTGCACCAAAGATCCTCGTCCTCACGAAAACCTGGATTCTAGCAAACCCTAAATGAGGCCAAAGCCAGCCAATAAAAGAACCCGGAATGTTTTCCAACGCCAAATCAAAACTCGGATATTTCGGAAATTGGGTATCGCGCGAGAGAGCAAATTGCGTCGCATGCACAGCATCAATCCTACCTGTGCATCCCCCACAACAGCCGTGCACCTGCAGTGCGCCTGCGCACTGATAGGCCTGATCGTGGACGATCAGGCGAAATTATCTGAGACGTGTCAGCGTTGGAGTCTGCGGTAATTTGCGGTCGGTCGGTCGGATTTGCAATGGTGCAGGGACATTGTTGGCAATTGCTCTGTTCGAACTCCGCAGACTTTCGAGACACCAAAAGACGACACCCTGGACCTCGAAGGAAGGCGTCGAGTGGTTGTGCTCGTATCAAGCCACGTACCCCTGTGCAAGTCGTTCGTATTCCCCCAGGTCGCATGTTACAGATGGAACATGCATGCCCGCCTGAATCCGGAGGTATGCGGATTCAGTTGGTGTGAATGGCGCCTGATCCCTCACAGACATGACACTTCAGTGTGCCATCTCGTTTGCAGCCGGTGCAATTTTGCCCTGTGCCGTTGCACTCATCGCATTTGATCGTGCCGAGTCCGCGGCAGGTTGGGCATTCCTTCATAATGTGCGGTCGTGTGTTGATTTCTTGATCGACAGTTTAAAAGTCTGATTATTGAATGAACTCGCTGATAAATAGCTGCAGGTGTGAAGGAAGGTAGGAAGGGGAAAGGAGCGACTGAAGAGGGAAGTAGAAGCTTAAGTTGGCAAGGGCGCCCAAGTGATGATGCAGCTGTCAGGTCAGAGTTTCGAAACAACAATGCAACCTCCAATCTATGCCAGGGTCTTTATATAATCTCCCGCGAGCGTTGCGCACAGCTCCGGTCCGCTTGCTACGACTCTTAATCTTGCTTGTGAAGACGATAGTTAAGCGGGTTCGTTTGCCCTGCTCAGCCACAAGATCAGGCAGCTCCAGCAGGAGCTCACGACTCGCGCAGCGGGGTTAACACGAGCGAAACCACTCACACCGTGAAGACGGTATTACCAAGGAGATGGTAGGTCTAGCTTGGCGGAAACATGACGATGGTTATGCAGGTCCCCCTAGCGTGTTATCATCTACCCATCTGATCCAAGCGTACAGACAGACCATTCTGTACGGTGCAGCAGTTCACATTCCAATGCTGTCAATACAGGTCATAAGAACGCCTGATATGCTTGGCTGTTCGACCTTCTCAAACAACACATCGGCATGCGGCGGTATCCATCGCCGTGCGTTTGATCTTGCTGACCGTGCCACAGCTGATCCACATCACCATCACAGCAAGGAGAATTGTCAAACCGCAGAAGCTCATTTCCAGTCTTCTAATGTGTTTCTTATTGTTCTCCGCAAGCGAATCACGTTGCTGATCCGGATGCCTGAGCCGAACCAATCTCCCCTCTTGAAAGCACATGGCGCAGCAGGTTTCCTGCTCGAAAATCAACGTGGAGGCCTAGGAAGACATGAATAGACCAATATAATTGCTGCCATATGGCACGTTTCTTTTTGACTGGACATGGACAGTTTCAGCGCGATACCGTGCAATTGGATTGTCTGAACAGGCACACACGTGGCAGCTGCAAGAACGTTTGCATAGCAGGACCCAAGATGGTGGGTAGGGCTGAATTGTGGTTGAGCAAATGCTGGTGCTAGCGCATGCATAGGGACATAAAGAAGGATAATGGTGCATTAATTTGACAAAGTGTCGGGTGTTTGAGGCAGCAACAAATAAATGTCGAAGACAGCCTTGGCTCCTGTGCGATAATATGAAGCAGAGATTAGGACTGCACTGCTGGTATGTGAATTGGGCAAGCAAGCTATCGATGTTCGTACCCATCGTACTCTGAAATGAGGGACCTTCCTGTAGTAGAATCAAGCCACTTGTGTAATCATGTAGTTCTTTGCACAGCCTCGAATCCTTCCGTTGCTAACACAGCGCGAGTCTACACAGCTCGTATTCGTTCTACAAAAGGAACGCGCGAACCTGAGTTGGTGTGTCGCGACTCAATACCCTGCTATATAATCCACAATGACGACGCCAGCTGTTAGAACAGGACCTTCAGCAAGACCCCAACATAGTGATCGTAAGCAAGTCAGGTCCGGTAAAGCACAGCCACAATAGTGCCTCGAGGGTAACAGCAGCTCATGATCAGATAATACCTCACCACCTTGGGGAGTACAACGCGGATGAAACATGCCGGGCACCGGTCAAAGTACGCGGCCTAAGGCGCACACATTGAAGAGTTGACATTTTAGTTTTTCGATAGTCTCAAACCCTTTAGAATAGCCCTTTGGATGGCGCTTACGTAGCAGTACACGTCACCTACCACAGACAAGTACGTATCGAAAGTGACTCCTTGATATCGACCTACTCGCAGGACGGTCGTGCTGTGCTCAAGTGAACATTCATCTGTTGACAAGAGGGCACTCAGGCCGCACCCTCTATGCTGTGGTTCTGGTTTGGCAAGCGTCGATGCGCACAGCAGCTGGCTAATACGGTTCATGAGTGGGACAAGCCCTGACTTTGATGGGTGTGAACCTCCTACGGCATTGGCCGAGTATGCATTGATATTGACGTTGACAATTATGGTGAGTGGAATAGCTTGCAAGAACAATGGCATGGTGTTATTTCTCAAGATGCCGCTGAGTGTATCGAGATAGGTGGGAGGCGGTTCAGTTGGTACGCAGCAAACAACCCCAGCGGAGATTTAGACCACATCTTCGGAGGCTCGTGAATGGATACTAAAGTTCTTAGCGACGCGTTGTAATACGCCGCTGGACGGAGGTTGCAAGCCCAACTGCTTGGCTTTAGAGGACTAGAGCGGTGAGATAAACACTCATACCAGATGCAGTAACCCGGCCAAATTATTGTGTACTGGTGGGATTCGGTCGCGTGCCGTTTGGCTTGTTAATACCTAGGGACGTTGGATCAATCAATCCAATCCAGGAACTTGCATTCGCTTTCCATGATGCATTAATCAAGCCGCATACACCTAAGTCATGTGTTTGCCGTTTTCTGTTCTGTAACGCTGATTCTGCCCATTAATTTCGGGGAGTGACAATCTGTTCTGCTTGGGGTTGTTCAATCAGTGCTGCTGCCATACCTCATCTTTCCATCACTGTGTTTGTGGATAGAAGGCTGTTACTTTGGAGGTAATTTTCACTAATCCTGGAGTATTCTCCGGGACAATGAAGCCGGTTCGAAGCTTCCACATACCGTTGAAGGCTGGCGTGATGGTGGTGGAAGGCGCGGGGAGCGAGGAGAAACCAAAATTTCAATGCGCTAAATTCGAGGAGGTGGAAGCGCTGGGTGCTGTTCGACGAGTCTGCAAAACTTCCGCTGCTGTACACTTTCGATGGAGTGGATGGTCATTATCAGACGGAATCTGACGCTGAGACTAGTCACGAGAAATCGGGTACTGTGACTCGGGAGATGCAAATATGCTCAACAAGACATAAATGATGTCGCGGGGGAATGAAGTCAGGGTGAACTGATACAGGCGAGACAAATGGTGGAGATGATGCAGAATTATTGCTGGTTGTGGAGGTAATCTTAATGTTTTCCAACTTCGGTATCTACAGCTTTCCATATATCTAACTTGTTGAGAGTGACCAACAGAGAAGATCTGCAACATATGTAAGGTCCGTCCCTACGTGCCGGGACGCACGGTGTAACGAGGCACATTTTCTTTCAGGTGCTCGGATTGTACCCACCACGCATATAAATTAACAGGTCTAGCGTGCGTCTATTTTGCAGCTCTTGCTCTCCCAGCACATAAGCCTCCGACGCTGAGAAGCGCGTTGTTGACCACGCTATCGCTTGTTTTGTCAGTGCCGTCCATCGACTCTCCCCTTGTTCGTTCGCAACAGTGTGCACTTGGGGAGACCTCGGTGGTCTAGAAAGAAAGCCAAGATGGCAAAGATCAAGACTGCACACTCAAAGAGTCAACTTAAGGTAAGAAGTGTGCATCCCGGTGGTTTCTCCGCGCGACCGGCAAGATCGTCAAAACGCGTGTGATCGGCCGTGCGTTCTAAGCGACATCTAGCAGCGGTAGCGTGCTGAGATGTCTGCGAGCCGCATTGCGCGTTGTGGCTAAAGACCCCAGCACTGAGATCCTTGCCTTAGGCAGCTCTTATTCCCGATCTGTAGGCAGCCGTACCTGATACCCACTTCTAGCATGAGTAAGGTTTGTTGTCACGCTGCGTAGAACTGTTGTGTAGAGTAGATCAAAGCTCTCTACAAGACATCTAGAGTCAGTAGGATTCACCACTGCGTGTTACTACATACCTTTCAAGGTTATACATAATTTAGGCCACCTATCTGTTACGATCAAAGGGCAACCCGCAACAACACTGAACGAACAGGACTACGTAACGAAACGAGAGAGCCGAGGAACTGTAGTATCGATCGACCCGAGCGGTGGGCCGCGTCGGCGATACTCAGTATGATCATCACTCTCAGTTGAGCAACTCGAGCGACCCGAGCAGTATACTCGGTACGATCAGTATACTCAGTACCGAGCGATCTAAGCAATCCTCTGCTCAATTAAATAGCAAGTAGACACGCTGCCCTTATGGCATCGTGTTCAACCTCGTCAATCAACTTTGTTATTGGAATCTCACTCGCTCTCGAGCCAGACAGTATACTCTGTACT